GTTATGAAGTTTGATTCATTTATTTATTACAGTAAAATATCTGCTAAAGAGAGTTTCATCTAAACAAACATGTAATTCCCCATACATCATTGCTTACAGTGCTTGCAACTTTAGGCGTTACTATTTTAGCGATCAGTCAGCAGTCATCGATCAGTCACCGATCAGTCAAGTTCGCGTCAAACTCACGTCACCAATCCGTCAGACAGTGAAAATATTTGATTGATCGGACGAATCTGACGGATTGAACTCTGCTACGTCACACGTTGAACTCTTACAAATTTCGCTTCATTGAATGAAAATGGCGCAACGGAAATATACGAATCGTTTATTGTTAATCATTCAACAAAGTTTTTAAGACTAAAATTTAACGTTTGTTAGACGAGAATTGAAACATTAAAGAATTGCGATTGTCGTTAAATATAGACTTTGTTTTTCAAACTCGATAAGTGATATACTAAGTATTTATCGGGATTGCAAAAAATCTACTAATTTAACCGAAAATGCTCTAAAGATTAAACAATCAAATATTGCAAATTTCGGTACATAATTTTCGATAAAATAAACAAATATGGAAGGGACACACTCTAACAAATGCAAACAAAATATAAATTATATTTTCTCTTAAATTCATCATATTTTGTGGAAACAACCCATCCTGATGTACAAAAATAATTATATCCAATGATGGTAAATGATTTTCATTAAACGAAACGAAAAAAAAAAATGCTTTCTTATTCAGTATAAAAAAAAGTCCTAATATCCTAATATTATTACAATTTTATGAAAAAATAACTTATCTAGAGGCTTTTAAAATAACTGATTGCAAACAAAAGTGCATTAAATTTTTATAAATAGAAGAAATTTTATGCTATGCTAACAACATTTTAGTATCTTTTCTCTGATATTTATAATATTTTATGAAAAACAAACCATGCTGAAGTAAAAAAAGTACAAAATCCAATGGCGGTTCATGATTTCATTTAAATACAGGAATAATTGCCCTTTTAAGTGTAAGCATTTTTATCTATATTTTATTCACATTTTATAAAGAGAATAATTTCTCCAGATGCATTTATGATGACTGATTGCAAACAACAGTGCATGTTTTTTATAAGGAAGAATTATTTGCATTTCTAAACAATTCGAAAACATTTTTAATAACTTTTTTATGATGTTCATTATATTTTAGGGAAAACAAACCATCATGTTGTACAAAATGTACACAAATTCAAAGGCGGCTCATGATTTCCACAATATAAAGAAATAATTGCACTCTTATTCAACACAGACATAGGTTCAAACATCTCTATCCTTATATCATTCACATTTTATAAAAATAACTTATAGAGAGGCATTAACAGTGACTTATTGCAAACAACAATGCTTTATTTAAAAAAAAAGTAGAAATATTGGCATTTTTACAGAATATGAACAACATTTTAGTAACTGTTCTCTGAATTTCGTCATATTTTATAAAAAAAAAACTCATCCCGATGTATAGAAAGTACTCAAATCCAATGGCTCTTCATAGTTTCCATTTAAATAAAGAAACAATTGCATTCTTATTAAACACAAACAAAAGTTTAGGTATCTTTATTCTTATATTCTTTATATTTTTATAAAAAATAACTTATCCAGAGGCATTTGAAATAACTGATTTAAAACACGAGTGCTTTATTTTTGAAAAAAAGAAGAAATATTGGTATTTTCAAACAATGCGAAAAAATATTTAGTATCTTTTCTCTGTTATTAATTATATTATATGAAAAACAACCAATCCTGATGTACAAATATTACTAAACTCCAATGGCGATTCATGATTTGCATTAAAATTAAGAAATAATTGCACTCTTATTAAAAAAAAAAAGTTTTTTATCTTTTCAATATTCCCATTTTATTAAAAAAAAATTTAAAATGACTGATCGCAAATATTTTTGCATTTTTTTTTATAAAAAAGAAGAAATACTCGCATTTTCAAACAACGCAAACAGCATTTTAGTAACTGTTCCCTGATATTCACCATAATATAAAAAAACAAACAATTATGATGTACAAAAAGAACTAAAGTTTAACGGTGGTTCATGATTTCCATGAAGAAAAAAAAAAGAAATAATTGCTTTCCTTTTAAACACAAACAAAAGTTTAAGTATTTTTTATCTTTATTTTATTCAAATTTTATAAAAAATAACTGTTCCCGAAGCATTTGAAATAACTGATTGCAATTAACATTGTATAATTTTTTTATAAAAAGAAATATAAGTATTCTTAAAAAATGCGAAAACATTTTTATTATATTTTCTTTGATATTCATATTTTTTTAAAGCAACAAATCTTGACATACAAAAAGTACTAACATCCAATGGCGGTTCATGATTTCTATCAGAATATAGAAATAATTGCACTCTTAATCAACACAAGCAAAGCTTTAAGTATCTTTACAGTTATACTATTGACATTTTATGAAAACCAACTCATCTAGTGGCATTAAAATGCATGATTCCTGAACAAAGTACTTATTTCAAATGATAACATTTTTCTTTCTTGTGTGAAACAAAAACATTCTGAGCATATCATTATTCTGCAATAATGAAATTCATGAAGCAGAATTTTAAACAACAATAATAATAAAACATCACATACAAGCGTTAAAAGTAATACATAATTTTTTTTCTAATATGTTATTGCGACGAAGTTGATTATATTTATCGGGTAAAGGTGTCTTCGTAGAGGTCCGTGTTTATTGCATGTAGATACTTCGGATTTTTTTTCACATACGAATTTTATTTATGAATGTATCTGTCCGATCCGTGCATATATTTAATTGACCGATCGATCGCTGACTGTTGTCACTGTAACTCACACATAACTTATTTGACGTATCTAAACGGATTCTATGGGTCATCGATCACCGATCATTCATCGATCAGTCAAGTTCCCGTTAAGCAATAACGCCTAAGGTTGCAAGTACTGTAAAGTATATCTCTTATATTTCTTTAGTTAAACTTGTATAAGATTGCAATCTACAAGAGTAGCATGAATCTTGATACCATACTATACCGTGAATACAGCTATTTCGTAGTGCAATTTTATTAGACAATAAATGCTTATATAAAAAAAACACACCTGCTTTTTCTCAATATAATTTTTACAGTGTGCAACTTTTATCAACATTAAAGAAACGTCTATAATCCTCATTTCAAAACAGGGACAGATATGTGTAAAGGGAGCCTTTAATCCAGTTTGACGTCTTCACGTCATTCATGTTATTACTGCTGACCTAGACCTTGCCAATAACACTTCTTTGCGAAATATCGTGAGCCTAAATCCTTCAATTGGAAACACAACTTAAAAATCCTGATGAATTATGTCGAGGCTTAATCCAGACAACGGCTAAGCGCAACAAAGAAGACGTAGATACTATTTCCGACTTGGTTAAGGCTTTGACGTCATTGTTACAAATCGGAATTAAAAAAAAAACAAAACTGAATGGGTCTATAAATACACTTTGGTGGATTGAAGTAAAAAGTTTGGCACTCTGCAAAAATGGTTCAACAATTTCAAGCAGAACTATTTTAAGTACGAATCGATTTGAATGAGTTGATAATTGCAGACTTTGTTTGTGTCTTCGAACATTATCTTTATTTTCATATTCTCAGAGTAACATCTAATGAAAAAAGATATAAACTTTCGATCATAAATTCTGATACAGTCTTTTTCTTAAGTAAAATGGAGTAAAGCTTCTTGGATTGAGACAGAAAAAGGAATGTTGCGAGATTGCTGATGTTTGTAAGTATCTCTCCTACCTGATATTATGTCCTTCCTGACAGGAAACCGTGATATTAGTTCATGTAAAGTTTGGAAACTGTAGATCTTAAACGAGGAATTCTTTATATTTTTTTTTATACTTTTGAATTAATCATTATTCTCAAACGGCAGATGCAGCTTTACTTAAGTTTTCTCTTATTAATATAGAACATGAATTCGTTTAGTGTGTAGAAACTCATAAAATAAGATTACGGGCATATCCAAATACTTCCTCGCAGAAAGAAGTTCTAAAATGTAACATTAATGGACTCTCTTAAAATGTAAGATACACGTGCATATAGAAAAATATATAAAAAGTGTCGAATAGAAAAGAAACACCATCTAAAAATTGTTTCAGTTGTAAAATGGATATATTGTTATTTTCAATACATTAGTAACAAAAAATTACTATATCCAATTAAACTATAGAAACAAAGTTACAATTTTGCTTATCGTGGAACAAGCAATGTTATTTACTCTGTATGTTGCCTGCATATATCAACAGTATGTAAGCAGAGATTAATCTAATTATTACGTAACTTCCCAAATCAAAAAACATTTTATTAGATGTTTTGATAGAGCACAAAATTAAATTTGTGAGCGTTTACATGGTCTTAAGTAGAACATTAACTCACCTGATATGAAGAAAGCTTGAGAGATAGACGACACAGCACTAGTTTAGAAATATATATGGATATTTCCCGCTATGTAGTAAGTTTATTGAGAATTTTCCTACGATGATTATCATTCAATTTTAGTGGTGTATTTGACCTTTTAAAAAATGTCAAAAATGGATCCCTGATTACAAAGTCAAATGCATTATCAATAGATGAAAGGGAGATACAATAGACTATTTTCCTCTGACAAATGTTATAAGCACAATGACTATACAATCATACGTTATTCTATCGAGTAGGTCCATTGAGGGGCGATATATGTACATGTACATGTAGATTTGATTGAATTCAGGTACGGTACGTACGACTTTGTTGCACCTTGTTACACATGAACATAAATTAAATGATATGTATCTTAAAAAGTTCAAATTTTAACATGTTTAAGGTTACAAAAATAACCTTCATATAATGAAATGGATTGCGAAAAGTTTAATTGTAAAATGTAGTCACATGACTGCAAATATATTACAAAATAAAAATCTGATTTATGAAATGCAGTCATACTTATGCCCCGCCTCAATAAGCTAAATGATAGTATAAAACGGGGTGTGCGACCAAATGTATAGACCATTCGGCTGTACGGTATGGAACTCGTATTTCTGTTCGCTACCGTTGCCGCAGTGATCGTGTCCTTCGTTGACGGAGCTGGATATCTGCAGATACGACCTCCCTCACTGAACCAATGTTGCTATGAAGACATAAATGAAGCTCATTTCAGCTATGACAGAGATTTCTGTGAAGGTAAGATATAGGATAAGTGGAAACATTTGATTGAATTTAGACTTTTACATTTCACCTCCTTAATGTTGTGTGCTTAGCGGGGCAGCAGTAAAGATCAATCTAGCACAACAGCGGACGCTCCTTGCAAGGATTTATTTATGCAGGAGCTATTGCCAGCTATAGTTTCCACATTAGCACGCTGACATAAACATCACGAAAGTACTGATAATTTGTAGGCATCATCATCAAAATGATTTATATAAAATGGAGTTGTAATATAATTTCCAACTATCAACCAGAATTCAAAAGATATAAACAATTATTTGTCATCGTACGGCCTGCAACAATGAAAAAAATATGTGTCGTTTATATAGGTATCAACAAAAGGCCACGACATGAAACGTATGAAACAAATCTAACTAACAGCCTACTTTAAAACAAATACATTTACTTAAATAAAATATGACAAACATTAAGCAACGACAACCATTGAATTACAAGCTCCTGACTTTGGCCAGGCACATAAAGAATACCATGCAATGAGTATCTACAGAAGTTGGCTACGTATCACTACTTTTGACTGATACTAATACGACAAATGGGGTGTGGGAATTTTGGATATGCAATATACACATATATCAGTTTTTTTTAGGGCTGTCTCATGCTTAGATTTGGTTTAGATGACTTTGTGATCAATATTTGTATTAATTCTATATCTTTTTGGTTATTTCCGTATTGTTACAAACCTTTATTTTTCAGGAAAACATTATTCAGTTCAGTTTCCTACCACTCTACTTCAAAACAGTGTTGCAAATTATATTGTTTAATTAATGTTATGTACGCTTTAATACCATCTTTCGCCGGTTAAAAAGAATACAAGGCTTATAAGTTGGCACATCAAACGCGCGTTTCGTCTACATAAGATCAGTGTTCATTTAATCAAAATAATTTCAAAGCCAAATCAAGTTTTACAAGTTGAAGAGCATTAATAACCGAACATTCCAAAAATGTGTACCAATAAAGATGTTCTAAATTCTTGTGTACCAATAAAGATAATCTAAAGTTTGAATTATATTCAGTAAGTACTATTATATAGAGTGATAATACCGTTGTTGGAATCAGCGCCTTTGTCACATCTGATGCAGTACTAATTTCATTGGAATCGTTATTCTATTTCTACCATTATACCGATACATATTCTGGAGGACCGTTAGTCTATTAAAATATCATCAGGAATGTAGCCAGGACTTATGTACTGGCACATAAACATAGATATAATTTTCATTGAATTTGCTGTTATAAAATTTTGGAATTTTTTATAAAGTAAGGAATGTATTTATATCATATATAACAATAGTTCATTTCCTGGATTGGCCATACGTTTGGTTCTCTTTTGGTTCACCCTATTTCTTTAATCTTTGTATTACAATAATATTTTGTATGTACAATTAGGAAGGCCATTAGCATCACTGAAGAAGCATTGATTGTCGAAATGTGCATCTGTTGAAGTAACATTAGTACCTTTTATGTTTTTGTTAACTTAATAGAACTGACAAGAATCGGAATAAAAATATTTATCTTTAGTAATGATAAGACTGACTCGTCGGTTACGATATTTCTTCACACTCATCAATAAAATAGTTGTATATTGGAATTTGATATACTTGGTTAAGCTTATTAGAAGAGATAGTTCGTCAACTACTTTTAACAGAATAGCATGAGAATGCAAAAACGTATTTTCAGGACCAAAGAATTGGTGCAAAGTTCACCCGTGTTGGACGACTTGTGGGTCACAGAGGAGACAATCACCAATCAACATCAACACAAAAGAGACTAGTTATAAAAGTTATTCAAGGCTAAAGTTTGATAATATCAACACAAGAGTTCCTGCGACCATTAAAAACAACGGTTAGTAGTAACAGTTTTAGTATATAGATTATATATCAATCAGTAAAGGTTTCTATATTTTACACAGTCTAACAAACTGGAAACGGTTATTTTACATTTAGAATTTTATACATTTTAGCCAGGTATCGACGTGTCTTTATAATGGCGTACGTTTTGAAATATTAAACAAATTATTATCGACAGCTTGCCAGTTTTCCACATGACTATTCTTCACTTTCTTTTTCAAACCACTTTGGAAAAGCATTGTTGTACGAAATTTGTGTTTCTTCTAAAGCATAGTCAGATCAAAATATTTTGAGAGAATGTTCTGACGGTATTTCATTCTTGCAATTTTCGATTATCAATCGTTTGTCAAATTTAATGGTACATAATATTAAAAAAATATCCACGGGGGCGTATTTTCATTGTACGCCCATGGACAGTCGTTTAACACTTAACGATTTTAAAAGCATGTTAACAAAAACGAGCATAAGAAAAAAATCCATATAAGTATTTGGGACAGCTATCAATCTACACAAGTAACACAAGAAATTTACGGGTCACATTCAGTTCTTAACAAGACAAAATGTATATATGCAATATAACAAGCTCCAAATTGCCCCAGATTTGGCAAAGCTAAAAATAAAGAAGAAAAGGCAATAATGTTTGGCCTAAAATATTATCCAAATTAAAAGGTTACCATTTATGATCGTATATTTGCCCTGACATAACTAAGTTAAATGTAAATACCTCTTTATAAATTTGGTGCAATCAAAATGTTCATTTTTTATTTACAATTAATCAGAAACGCCCAAAAACAAGAGTTTGAATGCATTTTGATAAAAAACAATCTTTTAGTAAATTGTTTTGAAAAATATATAAAAAAAAACAACATTAAAATAAAATTCATACATTCTAAATGTCGTATCTTTATCCTGGAAACAGGTCATGCACCGGATTTTGATGTTCACGAAGATTTTGATGAAGAGATAACTGTATGTAATGTACCTGGAAGACCAAAAGAAAAGGAGTATAATTTTGCGCAGTTACATGTTCACCTTGGACGAGACGAAAATAAAGGATCTGAACATGCTATTAACAACATATTCAAACCGATGGAGGTGAGTATCCCTTTTACATTAAATAGGAAATTTATTATTCTTTAAGATATTCATAAACAGGTCTGATACTTATTCAAAATAAATTTATGAATGTTGTGGATATTAGAATATCACATTTTGAAAATAATTTAGAAATAAATAAAAGAGTACATACTACGCCTATTTCTAGAATAAGAAACACACTTCAAGGACTCGCAACACGGTTTGTGTTTTTACCGGTCGACAAAGCAGCCAACAATGTGGTGATGGTATGACGTAAATACTACACGGACGTTCTTAAGAATGACATTTTAGATTCTTCTACATTCAAGTCCATGAGCTCCATAAAGAATCATATAGTAAACAATCATATTATAACCACATCAAAGCTCAAGGTCTCTTCTGAACATTTGAAGGTCCCTACTATGCATTGGTTAACTAAACTACACAAAATACCAGTAACATATCGTTTCATCTCGGCGTCTAGTAAGTGTTCTACAATTAATCTTTCAGTCCTTTTAACTAGTTCCTTAACTACTATCAAAGAACTTATCATTAACTTTTGTAATAAAATATGAAAATAGTGGAATTAACTGTTTTGGAGAGTGACAATTCTTTGGATGTTTTACATAAATTACGTGCCTGTGATGGTCCCTTTGAATCTGTTCACAGTTTTGAATTGTCAACTCCTTACACTAAACTTCCACACAATGTTATCGAAACTTTTTAATTAGATGGTCGTTTGGTAAATCTGAATGCGAATATATTTGCTCCAACGCATTAAAAGCATTCTTCACTAATGAGAAAAGTAAATATTCTAGATATACTTACTGGAGGTGTCATAAGATGTTTGAAGCTGTTGATTGTCTCCTTGATAATATTTATGTACGTTTTGGCAATACAGTCGATGTACTGGTTTATGTATTTCTATGGGCACCAATTGCGCCACTTTAACAGACTTGTTCTTGTACTGTTATGAATCACAGTTTATTGCCAAACTCAGCAACGAACTTGTCTAAATTGCATTTAATCGATAAATTCAACAACACTTATCGTTATCTTAATGATATTTTTTTCGTTAAATAATCAAGACTTTTCTAAACATCCTGCCGAAATTTACCCAAGGAAACTTTGTAAATATAAATGGTAATAACTGTCCTTTCCTAGATTTAGATATTTCAGTTTTACACGGGAAACTAGACACTAACATTTACGATAAAAAGGACGATTTTTGTTCCCTTTTGTTAATTTTCCATTTTTGGACGGTGATATTCCTTTGTCACCATCTTACGGTGTTTATATATCACAACTCGTTCGCTATGCCGTGTCTGCTGTGAAGTTTCAGATTTCAATGAACGTAATCTATGTATTACTGGTAAATTATTTAGTCTGGCATTTCGTTACCACAAATAACTTAAAACCTTTACTAAATTCTTCCATAGATATAAAAATTTGGTTTGAAAGTTTGGTTGTACTTGTAGAAAACTTATTTTTAACGCTATAACACATCCTAATTTTTACGGAGATGTTGTTTACCGAGCCCGGAATTTAGATACGATTCGGGTAAACTTATCGATCCCTTAAATAAACTTATTCTAAAAAGTTACCATTTCAACACTATAATTAGATCTTTGAATATTGTTAGCTCACCTTCACTTGGCGTCCGTCGTCGTCCGTCGTCGTCTATCGTCGTCCGCTGTTGACTTTTACAAAAATCTTCTCCTCTGAAACTACAAGGCCAAATTTTATCAAACTTGGTCACAACCATCATTTGGGTATCTAGTTTCCGATGACCCGGTCAGTCAACCAAGATGGCCGACATGGCTAAAAATAGAACCTAGGGGTAAAATGCAAGTTTTGTCTATTATTTTGAAAATCGTTACAAATAAAGAAAATCTGACAGGAGTAAAAATTATCATAATGTTGTCCTCTTCTAATTGTTCATATACGTCAAAACTGTTAGGCGACTTCTTATAGGATTCATTGCCCTTAAATGACAAATTTTATCATTTTGTTTTCTTTTTTGCCTATTATCTTGAAAACTATAATAGATAGGGAGAAACTTCAAATCGCAAAAATGATCAGCAAAACAAGTTCTACAAATAAGTATGATAGTTGAAACTGCCAGTCGACTCCTTATTACAGTTATTGCCCTTTGATGGCGATTTCTACCAAATGTTTGCGTTTATGCATTGTATCTTAAAAATTATAATAGATAAATAGAAACTTAAATTATAAGCAAAAATGATCAGCAAGACAAGTTGTACAGTTTAGACAAAATGGCGAATTTGTCTGACGACTCCTTATTGGAGATACTGCCCTTTAACCATTTGTTTTGCGTTTTGCCTTATATGATAAAACTATAACAGATAAATAAACACTTTAAATCACAAAAATAATCAACAAGGCAAAATCTACCAACAAGTAAAATTTTGCCGATATAGTAAGTAGGCTGTCTGTCACTCTTTATAGGAGTAATTGCCCTTAAATGTGGATTGTTTACCCTCTTTTGTGTTTTGAGCAAAAACTAAAGAAGATAAAGAGAAAGCTAAACAGACTTAATGATCAGCAATACAAAATCAACAAAACAGAGGTTTTTGTAATGTCTTCAAAGTCAGAGAATGTCCTTTATTGAATATGTACATAGACCATGGTGAGCTAGACAGGCTCTTTAGAGCCTCTAGTGTTTATTGGTATTAATATTGATTTTGTTATCAGTAAATAACTAGAATTTTTTTTATATACATACGCACATTTATGGCTCTGCAATCTGTCGATACCTGTATCTTGGCATTGCACAAGGTCATGTTTTTTCTATGACGTCTTTACACTAAAACCATTAGATGCTGGATGTGTACTGGTTAATATTTTAGTATTAGATGCATGTTTTTTTGTATTAGTTGTTATTGGCCTTGAACTAGCTGTCAGTAACTGCGAGTACTCTCAGATTGGACTTAGTGTCTTTTTGTTGTGGGGATGTATAAGTACCCTGCCACGACTACTCTGTGTTTTTGTTAGCTTCTGTATGTATTTCCGCTTTGTATCGATCTGATGCGTTAAGATCTGATCAACTGTTTTTTATAGATTGTTCTTATGTAGTACTGTTACACCTAGGTCAAAGGGAGGGTTGGCGCGCCTTCAAATTAGTTTAACCCCGCCACATCTGTATGTGCTTGTCCCTATTCAGGAGACTGTAATTCAGTGGTTGTCGTTTGTTGCTGTATATCATATTTGTTTTTCGTTCATTATTTTGTACATTAATCAGAGCGTTAGTTTTCTTGTTTGAATTGTTTTACATTTGTTATTTAGGGGCTTTTTATAACTGACTATGCGGTATGGGTTTTACTTATTTTTGAAGGCCATACGGTGACCTATAGTTGTTAATTCCTGTGTGATCTGGTCTCTTGTGTGGAGAGTTGTCTAATTGGCAATCATACCATATCTTCTTATTTTTATATATACTAGCAATATCACAACTTAATTTGAGAATAAGACATTTACAAAATCATGAAGACTGCAAGACCGTACACAGGCTGATTAAAAACGGTATTTCACATCCTAAATTTTACGGTAATAGTGTACTTAAAGCGCGGAAATCACTATGTGATCCGTGTAAACTCATCGAACCTTTAAACATACTTATCAGTAAAGGTTATCTTACCGATGTTGTAATTAGATCTTTGAATATAGTTTATATTGGCAAAAATATCGATTTCGTCATCAGCAAATTAAAACATAACAAACTTTGTATTCTTTTCAAACGGGATGTATAAAGACACATCCACGTTCATTTTGATCAATATAGAGGTTAACTCTTAAGTATCCTACTGCCTGTCGATACATTTATTTTTGGCATTGCGCAAGTCATGTCTTCTTTGACTGTCTATGACGTTAAAATACTAAATCCCTGGGAAGTGTTTTAGTTGATTTTAGTCTATGATGCAGGATTTTTTATTATTAATTGTTTTTGGCTTTTAACTAGCTGTCAGTCACTGCGAGTACTCTCAAATCGTACTTTCTTGTTTATTTGACCTGTTGATACTAATTTTAATGCTGTGTTTGTTATTTAATGTTATTCGGGGTTATATCTGGTCTATATACCAGCTTTGGTGTTTGGTATTACTATCAATGTTCACTTCTTCGTACTATGAACATCAAAATTATTTATTTTGTAAAAATATTTCCTTTCTCTATTTGAACTGTACACGTATACCTAACAACAACATTATTTTCATTTACCTGTGATTAAAGAAATTGCAAATGGCTGATATTTTTGTTCAAGCATATTATTTTTCTTAAATTGTTTAACATTTCAGAGCGGTTTAACATGTTACTTTAATTATTCTTCCCTTAGTTTATTTATTTTCTATTTACATTGTATCATAGATCAAATTTATTTGTTCAATGTATGTTCACTGGTGTTAATATGTCTTTTGATTGAGTTAAACCATTTCAATTGATAATTTATAGTGTTTCTTTCTATGTTGTGATGTTACACTATTGTTTTAGATAAGGGTGAAGGTTTGGTACCATCAAAACGTTTAAACCCGCTTCAATTGTTTGCACCTGTCCTAAGTCAGGAATCTGATGTTCAGTAGTTGTCATTTGTTGATGTGGTTCATAATTAAGTGTTTCTCGTTTCTCGTTTTTTATATAGATTAGACCGTTGGTTTTCCCGTCTGAATGGTTTTACACTAGTAATTTTTTGGGCCCTTTATAGCTTGCTGTTCGATGTGAGCCAAGGTTCCGTGTTGAAGACCGTACTTTGACCTATACTGGTTTACTTTTATAAATTTTGACTTGGATGGAGAGTTATCTCATTGGCACTCATGCCACATCTTCTTATATCTACTACCTTCATAACACAGATACATGTTTACAGAACACAACCATATACAGCCAAACTTTACGTGCACGCACTCCAATCAAAATCAGGAATAATATCATAGCTCTATGTGATTTCAGCATATCCTGCTTCTTACATATTTAATGCAGCAACCGTATGTTATGTTCTGTGTTACTGTGACCGTTTCCCTACTGAGATGATGATATAAGATAAATGGAAACTTGAGAAATTTATGTGATCGCGATTTTGGTCTTATGTCAGACATAAGATTTTAAAAGCGTTTACTAACTATTTCAAATCGTCATCTCCACCATTATAGAAAATTTATAAATGGATAACACATCAATATCTTAAACACGTATGGAGGTAAATGAAAATGTGTACCTTATATAACTCTATGAATATTTTCAATTATTTTTTTAATGAGCTTTTTAGATTTGATATATTTTTTAAAACAGAATTTGCCAATAAGCAGACGAACTAGAAATTATTTTTTTATTTATTATCAAAAATATGTAAAAATGATAACACATGTTTATGATTAGAAAGATATAAGTCCTGCCTGGTTAAAAAACATTTTACTCTTAACAAAATCAATTCTGGAACTGACAATAATAAAGAACCATTTGGTTTTTGGTTCAGGATACTTTTTACGTTTTATTCACAACAAAACGGGTTTGTTTATTGGTATTGCTTGTGTTTCCTTTCTTGTCTTATCATTTAATCTGTAAATATAATGTATCTATTAAATAAAACGGCATTTCTCATCATACATTCTTTCGTCAACAACATTATTACAATAAAAATTATTTGTAAATACGTTTAAATCGATAAAAGTGCTTCTTCAACGATAAATCGACACTCATCCTGTATTTGGTTTAGGCTTTTCTTGTTTGAAAGCTCTTAACGCTTCACCGTAGATACGCATTCCTGGCTTTCACAAAAGAGGCGAAAGATACCAAAAGGACATTTAGATTCATAAGTCGAAAAAAAACTGACAACGCCATGGCAAAAAAAAAAAAAAAAAAACAAACACAAATAACAGTGTACAAATGTTTAGGTTGGAGCGATCTTGATGAAGGTAAACCAAGAAAAGCACTTCGAACACGCGAAATTTATAAAGGTATATTTCATTTCAAGACCTAAATACATTGTTATATTTATTCTTTCTTCCCATGATTTGACGACTTTAAATACTTACTTGCTTCTTATAAATACTACCTATGTCTACTTAATGTATAAGGAGACTTAATAAAACATGTGTGACAAATACGTCAGCACGTTTATCTTCAACTGGCGATAAACCACTTCTTATATATATATATCACATGTTCGTAATACGCCATCCTTATATTAATTCTTATGTTTATAGCAATATCAATTAATGATAAAAGATCTCTGTTTTAAACAATTTATCAAACTATCGATCTTCATAGCGGATTGTTCTTACATAACAAACGCTCAAACTCAATTTTAAAGAAAAAATGAAATAAGCTGCTTTGGTTGACCTTTGCTTTGGGCTATTTTGAACTTACTTATTCGGGCTTGCGTACGGTATTCTCTTATATGACCATGTCATTCGTATTAGCAGTTCCAGAAAACAAGTCGTGTTATTATGAAATTGTTATGTTTTAGGCCCACATGGTATTCTACGACAGCGAGTATGAAGGTGTTGGGGAAGCTAAACCAAAGAAAAATGGACTGGTGGTGTTAAGTGTTATGATAGAGGTAAGAGCGTAATATTAAATTCAGCAGCTACACATAACGAATTTCAGAAAAATGAACGTACTGTTGTTTAATTCTGTTCTTGTAAATATCAAATTTGCTATATTTTACTTTCGATGGACGTGTGCAATTTAAAAAAGAACAATATTATCGGGAATAGTTTGTTTCTGAAATGGCGGATATATCTGAAATAATACTGAAAGGATAAAATAAGATTAGATTTTATGTAAAGAGGTCTTGTAAACGTTTTCCTTTGAGGCAATCCATCTTAACCTTTGTTAAATGTCGAACTCAGAAAAAAAAACTGTTTGAGACTCAGCTAAGAAAAAGAAAGCTAAAGATATGAAAACAGACGACATTAGTTGAACTCTCAAATTCTTATTTTCCAAATTATGTTCAATATTTGAGTAATGGTACGAAATGACATAGTCTTGGCACTTGTATTCGATGCAGACATGTCAGTTGTCACACCACTTTGATGTCAAACCCAAATGAAATCAAATATTTGTTTAACATTTTGGTTTTGTCGAATTCAATAATACATCTTTGGGTCATGCAAAATTATATGCGTTCAACATCCACGTTTTTGTATAGAAAGCACAATATCTTTGGAAGTTAATGGCTTAAATATATCAAGTTATCAAAAACATTCAAAAGGAGGTTATTTTTATTACAGTTTTCACGGTTTCGTTAATTATATGATAAGTCAACATTATGCATGAACATTGAATGAACAATACACTATGATATAAAAATATAACTAGTTTGTTATCGAACTTAATAACATGGCTTGTATAGCATGTATAGTGTTTGTGGGATTCAATAACTTTATCTTAAATGGACTTTTGATACTGAGAGTTTTGTCCAAATGATTTATTGATACATATGTGATATAAACAGATCAGAAGTATAAGTTAACATACATACTTCCGTTATTGAAAAAAAAAACATATTCTCGAACGTTCTAAACCAAAATGCAGATTCTTATTAACCTTTTCTTAGTAATGACTCAGTCAAAACATCATTGAGTAAATTGGTTAAAAATTTCAATTATACTATAATGTCTGAGAACGGATTGATGAATGAAACGAAATGTTCGAACACGTAATCTAAATAAGATATTACCCAATGACTTACAAAAAAATTATCAATTTGTCAACATTGAATCTTCAACAATGGACAGATGTCTATATTTTTCAATACAGTTAATAAACTAGACATATACAAGTTAGGCAAAAACATTGCATGATCCACTATCGACAGCTGTATGCCTATTGAATATTTCAATCGTAAATATAATCATTCCAGAAGACGAATATTTTTCAAGTCCAGGATAATTTGATTGGTGTTACTTGGGTAAATAGGCAAACCTTATTGAATACAATATGTATGTACAAAACTATCAAGGCACAGTTTACGCATTGCTTGGTATGTTTCTAGCGTTTAGTGAATGGCATATAAGATAAAGATGGACTAGGATAAAACAAACACTATTCAAATAATTTAGAGAAAACAAAAATTGAAAGGCAACACTAGTCTTGCAACATTAACGAATACATCGTTCACTTTATATAAGTACTTGTAGCGGGCATTTATGGTTATGCTGCCAGTAATATAATGGAAATAATCAGCACTTCATATGAGACAATGTATTACCTGTCATAAATATTTTGAGAGGTTTAGCTCGCTATAAATACCAGGTTTAATCCACCATTTTCTACATAAGGAAATGCCTGTACCAAGTAAGAAATGTGACAGTTGTTTTCCATTCATTTGATGTGTTTGAGCTTTTGATTTTGCCATTTAATAAGGGACTTTCCATTTTGAATTTCCTTGGAGTTCGCTATTTTTGTTTTTTTTACTTTTTATAGGTATGCGGAAAATCCAAGAAAAACAATGAATGTGGGGTAAGTTATAGACTCTGAGAATGTTGTTGACCGTAAATACTCTGATTCTTATTTCTAAATGTATATCCATTTTATAACACTTTTATGAGTTAAGGGATTGTAAAATACTAACTACGCTTACAGATATTATATGACACACCGGTAAATTTTAGGAAAGTACTTGTGTATAACTGTAAGTGAATCCAATACTTGAAACTGTCAGTTTAAACTTTAACATGTTTTAGACTGTTTACGATCCAACAAAAGAAAGGTTAAGTCTGCAATTTGTATTTCACATTATTCGAATATGGACAATGCTATAGGTTAAGATATAAAAGAAACTGATAAGAAAAGAATAAGTTAAATGTGGGAAAAGAGACGTATTAACTTATAATGTATCTGTATGCATTTAATAAAGCTGAAAACAAAATAAATTTCTAGTATATTATAAATTATTGTGTTGGTAGGTTCATGGATCATGTAAAGTCAGATTTGCAAAGAAGCTTAGTAAACTGATGGAAAAATACTATGAAAAAGTGCGAAGATTTCCTCATGAGTCGGTAAACCCTATTACCATGTACATGAGCTTGTTTGGTCTTTCCAAAAAGAGTGAGTATGATTTAATTAAACAGAAACCAAAAACTGCTATAAAATTCCGTGGTATCACAGACCTTTCTAAAATTTTGCGTTTATACATTTAGAAATTTAAGCGAAATTAGGGTTTCATCTGCCTCAGGCAAAGTTATTTTTCCCATATACACAGAGCTTTTAAACTGTTTCGGTTCTAATACATACTTGGCATTCAAACATTCGGCTTTAAGCGTACCTGATAAAGGTAAATCCAGGAAAGTGCTTCGGACGCATTACATTTATAAAGTGTGTGGGTTTTCATTTTTGTCAATGAAATATTATAATAAAATGTGAGTAATTAAGATATGTTATGAATTAGAAAAAGAAATAAAACAGTAACAAAACACTGCTATATAATATCAACACCACAGACTACTTATGACGACTGATTCACGATCACAAAAAAGAAAATGATATGTCTCAATATAAATTTAGAATAAAAGCTACATGTTTTATAAATCATAATTTCATTGTTTATTCTAAAAGTAACGCAAAATTGATCATTATCTATAAACATATACATTATGTTAGACAACATTCGGTGGCATGGTTGTTGATTGTACTAAAGAAATCTATAATTTGTGAAATAGTTAAGTCGTAACCACAATCCCCTCCTTTTCCCCGAATGTGACCAACTAAGATACATTTATCACCGAGTTTGTACTAACATGAGCAACACGGCGGGTGCCACATGTCGCACAGGTTTTGCTTACCCTTCCAGAGCACAGGAGATTCCCCCGGCTTTTCATGGGGTTTGTGTTGCGCAGTCTTAAGTTTTCTGTGTTGTGTTTTGCATACCGTGGTTTGCCTTTTGCATGATCGTTTTTCATTTTTTCCATGGCACTGTCAGTTTTGTTTCGACTTTTGAGTTTGATTGTCCCTTTGGTGTCTTTTCCTCTCTTTTATCATGTTTATACTGCTGTTTGATATAAAAGAATATGAAAATGATACCCAACAGACTGTTCAGATATAATTCATTGTTGTAAATCGTATATCTATTGATAATGTTCTCGTTCGTTGGTCTGCTGCCTCACTGTCGTTTACAGATCATCTTTCAGTATTAAGGGAAACAATTGATATATATGTGAACAAAATAACTGTCTTAGTCTGTATGGTATTTGTTTTTGATCAGAAACGCTTATAGCAAAGTTTCGCAGGCAAAATAGTTTATCAATACAAAAAACAAAAAAAAAACAAAACAAAAAAACAAAACAGAACATAGTATGTAGTATGACCTTTGTATCAATCGCCTTAATTGCAAGTTAAATGAATACAACTGTGATGAGCGCAATGATATTTCCTGCTATATAAGCATTATTCTATATTTGACTCCAAAGTAATTTCAAATGACTCATGCCTTGGTGAATAAAAAGAAAAAAAAAGAACGACGATTAAGCAGCCTCCATAGTTTGTAATATCGATCTTTTCACCAAAATAAAGTAGTTCTTTTTATATCAGGTGCATAGGAACGTGATAAAGAGCCCTCGTAATTACTAATTTGAATGCAACTACTTTAGGAGCTATACACGGTATCTTTAGCTTCAACAACCACCTAAAGCCATCCAAGGTCAACGTTTGCTCTAATTAAATGTTAAGAGACAGGGCACATATCGTCAGATATTAGTAGTCAGCACTTAGTGTTAATATGAACTGTCATTGCCTTGATAAACGACCTTCCACCATTTTGTTATATTCTGCGACGACCATGCGCCTAGCATGTAAAAACAGAAGTTATACATCATATCCAATTCCCAAAAGAGAAAGTTTCAGTAAGAGAGTGTTACCTTGTCTTTTCGCGAAATCTTTCTAGTAAGTACTTGTCTGTTACATATTTAATGTTTGATGCGGTCAAGGGCTTTAATTACTATAATTTAAATCTGCTGCAGGCATATAGATATAAAAATAATTTATATATATAAATACATAGACTACCGTAGATTCCTTATCATTCGTGGGATACCAATTTTCGTGGATTTTATCGGTAAAGGGAGACCACGAATTTAAATATTCAATGAAGTACAAATTTGCTAAAGGCTTGTATGCTGACTTTGGCAAAACCACGAAATCAAATATACACGAAAATATATTTGTTCCTCAAACCACAAAAATTGATACCCACGAAAAAAAATGAATCCACAGTACATATAGAACATTAGTTCCCGTTACACTGTTACATAAGTATCTAACATAGTTTGTAAATTTCAAGATCATCAATATATAAGACTGCCATGAAGTACATACATGAAAATACAATTACCTATGTGTCATTGATTTCAGTTAAATCATGCATAGAGTACGTTTTGCTTTCCGATAGCATTACCAAACAAATAAAGCAACAGTTGTAGCACGATCAATGATATGTTATCATAATCATTGTATTTGCCTCATTCCGTTCTTTCAATTCTAAATATAGAAAGTTGTTCGAACAATAAGTGTGGTCGAACGCCAAGTCCAGACTTTATAGAAGAGAGATGCCAAAAAGAAGAGCAAAACGACAGATCATTTAGAGTTACAGAAGGTATCACTCCTCAAGATGTCCTTCCGTATGACACACATCGATTCTACACGTATGCAGGATCTCTCACTACACCTCCATGTTATGAAACTGTACAGTGGGTTGTTTATAAATGCCCAATAAAAGTTTCTAGAAAGGCAAGTATACAATTACATGCATTGTATCAATTTACTTAGCTGATAGTGTCCTTTTTCAAAAAGAGTGCAAAAGAGTGCTCTGCAAGTGCTTTCATTTCACAATATGTTGTTTATTGAATTTAACCTGAATATTGCGGCTAAACAGGTTCTACGGTAAGGTTCTTTTTATAAATAAAAATGATAATCTGGGAGTAAACATTCACACTTATGACACATTTTATATGTATGGTTATTGGCTGAATAGAATACAGACCCTTAATAACATTCATAACCAATGTTCATATTTAAGTTTTTTATTTCGTTTACTCTTTGTATTGTCTTTGCATATGAATACATGTATATTTCTGATATGAAATTGAATAATAGATACTAATACAAAATGAAAAATAGATACTAATACAACAATTAATGAATGTTTGTTTAGATAAGTTTCAAGACAACGATATTGACGTTTTTCATTGATTTTACGTCTATATCCCAAGCTGTTAAATTTTTAGACGATGTTACGTAAACATTTGACAATTCATCTTATTACTGGTATACATGATTTGACGTGCATATTTTCCCTGTTTGAACAGTGTTGAATGGTCGCCCGTTTTCATGGCGTAAAAAAAGCGAAATCATATGAAAGCTAAAACAACCTTAATTGAATCTTGAAATGAAGTACTAAGATCAAGCAAACCACATGTTGATTGTAAAACGATGTAATTTATAACACATCGGTTAGAAAATAGTTCTGTTTGGAATAAACTAATAGTATTGATGAAAAGTATCTAGCTTATCGATTTGTGTTCGATACGTTCGAAAAATTGTATTTACCATGAACACTGTGATGGATGCCACATACAGATCATGCACTTCTTATCCTTCCAGACCTTCTTAGTTTATTCCCGGTTAATGTGGAGTCCCTGTTGTTTAGTCTGTTGTTTTTATGAATTGTTTCTATACTGTACTATTAAATGTATTACTTGTCCTTTCGTAGTTTTATGCAATGGTTTTGCCAGTTTCTCTTTTACTTATGCATTTTATTGTGTCTTTGGAGGTCTTCACTCCTTTTTTTACACTTTACATATATAATCTTTCTCTGGAAACTTGTGTTTTCGAATTTTATCAACTCTCATAACATTGATAATAAAATGTCGATGCACAATCATTAAGTGTAAGTATGAATTCGGTACATTACATATGTATTTTTATTTGCTTGAAATTAAATAAACCTTGCCAAACATATTTTACTCTATTGACCAATGTTAGTAATTCAATAGTGACCTCTGTATCTTTGTAGGCTTTTAGAATGTTACAGTTGGTGCAAGATTCACATTTTCTTCCCCTTACACACTTTGGTGTACGAAGACCTTTACAGGTAAGGAAGAATTTAAGATTGTTTTAAAAAATGTCATGCTATTTCAGTGAAATATTTTTAAAGTGGAATATTTTGAGTGGTATGAGTCTGAAAACACATTTGATGGAAAATGGATTTAAAATAGGGAATTACCATGATTATTAGTAGGCAGGGCAAGTCATATTTGTGTTTTTGATAGCTTTTTCTGACTTTTTCTAATTATTAGTCTTACAGGTATAAAACCACTAATTCATAGCCCCATTGCTTTCTATGTTAAATTCTGCAATTTCAAGCATACATGGCTACTTTGTCTGAATTTCAAATAAAGTGGCAGTTATTTCATGTCAAAACTGTACCTTATGCTGACTTGTGCTGAAAAAATCAACATACCTTTAATTGCATATTAGAGCGTACTGGTTCCCGGAAGTTTGATAGTACAAAAACAGGAACTTCTGATCTGAACAACAGGCCAAATGAGCCCTCCTATTAAAATTTCATATACTTCTTTATTATTTAAATAAAACTTTCAACAAGGGTTCTACAGTGATCCCAAGTCCCCAAGCTTTCATTTGATACTAAAACTACCCAAATATTCCCACTATTGACAAAGATACAGCTATGCATAGGAACTATTTTGTTTAAAATATGTACTACTTTCTTGTATGTTCTTTCCGACCGGGCCTGAATTAGTGGTTCTATACCTATAACAGCACCAAACTTGTTATATTGACTTCTGCTTGACTTAATTTCCTTCTATGATCTATTTCTAGCATAGAAAAACACATAAAGCTTTTGTCAAAACACTATATCACTGAATTCAAGCTCAAATTGGACTGGTAGTAACATATGCGTTAAACAAAGAAAACTACATATGGATACCAATAGTGACAGATATGACACTTTTTCAATTTTTACCAGTTCTGATTTGTTAATATCTACTCAAATAACAGTGTTCTTACCTATATGTCTTATTTTTATCAGAAATTCTTCCTTGAATATAAATACAGTGGTCCAAACATAAAATATAATTGATAATTTTGTCCCCCCTTTTTTCTACATGTTGGAAAAGGAGAGTGATTTGGTAAAAAAATCATACTTTTATGTATAAACATGGATCAACAAGAGCAATTTATGTATCTCCAAGCTAGACAACTTGCTAAAATGGTTATAAAATGCATTTCAAGAGAGATTTTGGAATTCCTATATAAGTATACACCAATTTTCCTTGAAATAAATAATTCACCAAGAAACACAATAAAACTTGAACACTCACTAGATAATTTGACCAAAAACAATATTTATACTATAAACTAGTCATAATATACAAGTTTCATTGGTTTCAGTGTTAGATAATCCAAAAATTTAAATTTCAGGTAAAATCTTAACTGTGTGCATGCTAAATGACCAAAAAAGGCTAAACTACCTTATTATAGCAATTTGAGGGCTGTAATTTGACACTAACATAATTGTTACATAAAAAAAATAATGTAACATGATTTCTGACAACAAATGTGACCAATTTTCACTGTAAAGGGTATGATTTCTAAAAATAGAATTTCACATGCCTGTCAGTAATAGGTATAAAACCACTAATTCATAGCCCCATTGCTTTCTATGTTAAATTCTGCAATTTCAAGCATAAATGGCTACTTTGTCTGAAGTTCAAATAAAGTGGCAGTTATTTCATGTCAAAACTGTACCTTATGCTGACTTGTGCTGAAAAAATCAACATACCTTTAATTGCATATTAGAGCGTACTGGTTCCCGGAAGTTTGATAGTACAAAAACAGGAACTTCTGATCTGAACAACAGGTCAAATGAGCCCTCCTATTAAAATTTCATATACTTCTTTATTATTTAAATAAAACTTTCAACAAGGGTTCTACAGTGATCCCAAGTCCCCAAGCTTTCATTTGATACTAAAACTACCCAAATATTCCCACTATTGACAAAGATACAGCTATGCATAGGAACTATTTTGTTTAAAATATGTACTACTTTCTTGTATGTTCTTTCCGACCGGGCCTGAATTAGTGGTTCTATACCTACAGAAGAACTAATCAGTTTTAGCTACATTTTCGGTCCATTTAATTAAATTCCTAACTTATCATCGGTTAATCCCACCCAAAAAACTCAATCAGGATACCAGGCATATAATTTGTACGACAGACTTGCATTTCGTCGACATGAGACTAATCAATTTCTCTCGAATCAAAAAAGTTAAAACGCTAAATCAAGTACAAAGTTGAATAGCACTGTGGACCAACAATTCCGAATGCAAACTTTCCTTAACCGTTCAAACATTATTGATAAATTTGCAATTGTCTTTGTTACAACCCTTGTTTATAGTTATTTCAATGATACGTTTTTGTTTGATTGAGACCTTGATAACCTAAACCGTATGCGTTAGTGCTTTAATCATTTGTCACTGAGAAATAAGCAAACAACAATCAGTCAATCAAACATAAATGATACACGATTCATTGATACAATCATTACAAGAAGATGGTTTCCGTAACAAAAATATATAACTAACCAACATTATACATTTTTACTTCGACTTTGCAATTGTTTTGCTACAATTCATCGTTGCGTGCATATGATCTGCAGAATAAAGTATCATCGAACTTAAGTTTTATTGCACATATACCTAATGAGCAACACATCTGAACGTTTCGTGAGGCTTGTGTTAACCAAAATTTAACAAAAAGATACTTTAAAATGCACACTGAATCTTTGTCATGCTTTTCCAATAAACAGCTATGTAATATTTTAGGTTCATTGAGATAAATGCCTTTGATTTATATATAAATACATATATTTTTCTTTTTCAGAAAAATAAGAAAGTGGTTGTCTACAGCAACTTTAGGAATTGACAATGAAAAACACCTGTATTGCAATTAAACAAACATGAAATAAAGACTAAATTCTAAGTCATAAGCAATTTACTCTCGCCGTATTTGACAATTTTATCAAAGATAATAGAGAGTCCAAAACAAACTGATAAAGCCATGGAAAAAAAAAGACCAAACGACAAATATCAATATACAAATCACAACATAAAAAAATTAAGACTAAACAACACGAACCCTACCAAAAACTTGTAGTTATCTCAGATGCCCCGGAAGGGTAAAAGGGTAAGTATATACTACTCCACATGTGGCACCCATCGTATTGCTCATGTAAGCACAAACCCGGTGATGAGTCTAATTCGATATGTCACATTAGACGAAAAGGGGACGGGATTGTGGTTACGACTTTTGGAACAGGTCATTTGTGAAACAGGTATTCCATAACAGTCATCCACTAGTGATAAAGCCCGTAAAATTTTCGAAGGTATAATTTCATCTTGATCACTTGGAACTCTTGTTTTAATAGCCTACTTGTGAGCAGCAACACTCTATCAAAAAAATCATGATATGAAATACAAGCCCCTTAATATCGTATCACCTGGGAGATATATACCCCATATGCAGGCGCTGCTGGAATGCTGCTACATAGAAATAGAATATGCACTATTAGGAAGCAGCAATCATCTCTTTTGTAGAGGATAACCTTAGGAATATACTGAGTGCTCAGTAGATTCGTGTATCATAATCTCATCATAGATCATTTTATTATATGACTATATTTTTTCTGTTTTCTTATTGGCTAAATGCATAGGAAATCCTCTTCGATAAAACATTATAATCACCGCGGCAAAAATCACTAGAGGTTAACATAAGATTTGTAACAGCGTCCGTGTACCTTAATTTTAAATATTCCAAGGCAACGTCAATGACGTAGGTTTTTGATGACGTCATGTAAATTCCTGTTTTTTTTTCTTTCTCTTCTTGTATTCGGTGCATTTTTTCTCTTCATTTGTATTTGTTCGGCATACAGCCTATCATGAATAAATAACTAATCGCTTATACAAATATACAGGAAATGACGGGACGTCTGAAAGGCGGAATATATATTTTGCACTCAACGGATATGAAAAATCTTAAGTCCAAGAAACATAGACAATACAATAGCAAAAATGAGACTGGTGCACTCCAGGAAATTAAGCCATGCACCAATCGTGATGTCCATTGTATTAAACATGTTTTGTTTGGATCGATAATACATTTGCTTGATTTAACCGTTCTATTTAAAGGTTTTGTTGACTTAGTATAGGCTTTCTTTTCTTCAATGTTTTGTTACTCCGTAAATAGTGTATCATTTCAAGAGCCATGTGACATGTTTTGTGTAATCAAGTATCACAAACAAATCTTACAATGAATGAAAATTTTTATACTTCAAATCGGAGTAATTTGAAAACAGGTGTTACAAAACAATGTTGAAATTCCAAGAAATGTGTTAGGTCTTTCATATTAAAAGGAGAGAATAAACGAAAGTAGCAAAGGATAAAGCAACTACTTCAATCAAAGAACAGCAAAAAAAAATTTGACTATACTAAATACACGAATCAAAGTTCACATAAAACTACAAGGAAAAATAATGACTAAGCAATACCAGTCCCTCCAAATATAGAAGGTGAACCCTAAAAAGGAAGTCGATGATATCTTAAGAAACCCGTTGAGTAAGGTGTATAACATCGGAACATTCAAGACAGTCTAAAAAAGAATAGTAACCAAAACATCAAGATGTTGAAGGAAAGTCTTGCATCGTCATTTCAAATTGATTTTAAAAAGAACCCAATAAAAAGTTGGATTTTTGGCAGTGAATTCGGTACTACAACATGACAATGCAATGAATGCTGGATAAGTTAATACATGACAACATTGCATTGATTAATTAAAATACATTGGTGTTTAACGCCACTTAAAGCAATATTTGATTATTTTGCTGCGATCAGTTGTTTTGCTGGAGTCACCCAGAGTGCATTGAAAGAATCGCCGACTTTCGACAGGAAAACTGACAATCCTAGGCAAGTAAGATTGGAACCAGTCGAACCTGCCACGCGCGGAATTCAATCTCAAAACCTCAGCGTTGACATGCTAGTGATACAGTAGTTGGACTGCTAAGACCACTCGGCAACCGAGACCCCAAATGTATTGTAACGGACAAGCTAAAATTACAATGCCTCATTAAAAGATTAAAAGATCTTCTACACTCTCGACGCTCAAATGACCACATATTGCTCGATTTGACTATTTTCATGTCATTTCAAAATTATGAAAAAAATATCTAAAGTTAACATTCGTGTCATGGTTTATTTTAAATACAAAACATGTTTGCACTTTAAAAAACATATATTGACTGATTGTTATATTCTTATAAAAAAAGAGATGTGGTATGATTGCCAATGAGAAAACTATCCACCAAAGTTCAAATGGAGTGGATGTCAGCAATTACAGGAAACCGTACGGCCTCCCACGGGCCCCGACATGAAAAATATGAAATAATTCAATTCAGAAACTAACGCCTAATTTATAACAAATGAATTAACGAAAAACAAATATGACAGACACGAACCATCGACAACCACTGAACTACAGCTTCCTGACTAAGGACAGGCACATAAAGAATGTGGCAGGGTTAAACATAGTTGTGGGCGCTCATCCCTCGTCCTTACCTGGGACAGTGCTGTTACAACACAACAACTACAAGCATAAACTATAAAAATCAGTTGAAAGGGCTTAACTCATCTTATCGATACAAAACAAAAACAAAAAAAATATCTAACAAAAACACAGACCGGACGTGGCAGGATTTTTATATATCCTTATCAACAACAGAAAAGACACAAAGTAAAGATCTGAGAGTACTCGCAGTTACTGACAGCTAGGTCTAAGCCAATAACAACTAATACAAAATTCATGTATCTAAGACTAACATATCGATCATAACACATCATTACACATCCAACATCCAATGGATTTAGAGTAAAGACGTCATTAACAGTCAGAAAAAAAACATGCCAAATATAGGTATCGACAGATTGTAGTACCGTACCAGTGCATATGTATATAGCAATGATATCAAATATGGTTTTAATGTACTGATAACAAAATCAATATTTATACCACACTGGTAAGTCTTTTGGAAGATTGGCGAGAGGCCCTGGATAAAAATCATTATTTGGCTGCTGTTCTTATGGACCTCTCAAAGGCTTTTGATTGCCTTCCACGTGAAGTTTTAATTGATAAATTGCTCTCATATGGTATTAAGCCATTCAGTCTCTTTACTAAAATCATATTTAACTGGTAGAAAACAGCAAATCAAAATTGGAAGCATAATTATGCAGACGACAATAGTTTGTCTTTTTCAAGTCCTGATTATGACAATTTTATATCAACCCTAAAACTGGAGTCAAATCAACTGATATAATGGTTTAGAATAAAAAAAAAATGCAAGCCAATCCTGACAAGTTTCAAGTGATTGCAGTTGGAAAGAAACTTTTGACATAAACCCAACAATTGAAGTTCAAAATTCAAAATTGACTTAAAAAAATAGTTAAATTGTTGGGTATAGAAATTTACTATCAACTAAAATTTGACATCCATATTGGAAATTTCTGTAAAAAGGCAGCTTAGCAACTCAGTGTTTTAAAACACTTAGGACCATATCTTTCTAGGCTAAATAAAATTACTATATTTCATACATCTATTTTAAGCAATTCTAATTTCTGCCCTTTGGCATGGCACTTTTGCTCGGAAACTAACACTAAAAAACTAGAACAAGTGCAGGAACGAGCACTTCGTTTTGTCTATGATGATTACACCTCGTCATATTTGGAATTATTACTGAGCTGAACTGTCTTCCCTACAGATTCGTCGTATCAGGACTATGGCATTGGAAACTTTCAAAATTCTTAAAAATCTAGCTCCCTCTTGTCTCAATAATCTGGTAAACAAAAAAACAAACTAATTATTCTTTCAGGTATAGTAAAATTTTGGATATTCCAAGGGTAAAAACTTCTTCTTTTGCAGCTCCTAAATTATGGAATAGCTTGCCTGACCATTTCAGGACTGAAATAACTTCTCCCAGTTTAAAAGCTTAATTCAATCCTGGAATGGATCAGAATGTGGATGTAGTGCATGCAAGTATTTTTTTTAATTTGTTCTCATAGCTTTTAATTTTTTCATTTACTTTTTAGTTGCTTATAGTGCTTAATGATTTTGATTGCTTTGCATGGCTATTCTATTCATTTATGTGTGCTTATATGTTCTGCTTATATATGTATGCTTTGATTGCCTTGCATGCATATCATATTCATTCTATGTCTGTATGTGAATGTATATCTGTTTTATGTTATGTGTTTTGTTTTATATATTCGGTGAAAAGCTCTCCAGAGCTTATGTTTGTATGTTTTAAACCATGCCGAATCAAAATTAAGTTTTCTTATCTTATCTACTTACCAATATAACGTTATACAAAGATCAATTACAGAGTGCATTTGTAACCTTTTAATGTGAGTTTGTTTACCCGTATCGTATTTAAATTTTCAGACTCAGTAAACAACATCATCGTGAAATTTGAGATGTGCTATTCCATTTGAAATAAGTTTTCCAAATGTACAACCAAACTTGCAAACCGAGTTTTTGTAGCTATGGAAGAATTTAGTATTTACACTGTTTATATTAGACATTTATGAACACACAACAACGATAATCAACGTAGCAATACTTACAATTATACTTTGTTCATTCAAATAGTAATACTGTAACTTATAAATACACAAACACTCCACTTAAATTGTTCCAAATCCATGTACATAGATATAGGAAGATGCGGTATGAGTGCCAATGAGACAACTCTCCATCCAAGTTACAATTTATAAAAGTAAACCATTATAGGTCAAGGTACGGCCTTCAACATGGAGCATTGGCTCACACCGAACAACAAGCTATAAAGGGCCCCATAAAATTACTAGTGAAAACCATTCAAACGAAAAAACCAACGGTCTAATCTATATAAAAAACACATATAGATACACATATAGATG